GGGAAAGGTTGGTTTGGCTCTCCATCTGCTCTGATATTGGAAGAGATGTGAACCAACTGATTCAGTGGTGATCAAAAGGAGCTTCAAGAAGTATAAATAGACAATTATACAGGAAGTGTACAGGCTGTGCCCTGTTTCCTGTGTGAAGAATACTTCACCAACTCAAAACTGGTTGAAAGAATGAAAGGAACTGGGTTCCTATTCTCTGGGTGAGTAAAAGTGCAGTAGACAACCTGGAGCAGGAGGGCTGGCTCTGAACAACTTCCTGTCACAGTTTTCTGCCAGAATGTGCAGCTTCTACAGTTTCCTGAAAATTTTCAATTTGTCACCAGGAAAGTCAAAATGACATATTTCATTCTGGGTAAATTTGACCTGAAACAAAATATTTTGTCTTGAGAAAAAATCCTAAATAAATATATACAAATATTTTTGCATCAGTCCTGCAAAACATTAAACTGCATTTCCCTGGCAGTGTATACAGCTTCCTTGTGAGAGCTACATTTAAAACCTCATTGGGCACAGCTACATGTTGCCCCACAGTAACGGCGTTACTCTGCTGTGCTTTAGTACTTCTGCTAAAGCATGGCGCAGTACCGGCCTGTACTGCGCCATACGTGTGGCACACGGTTATGTTTAGCAGCTACTTTGCCATAGCAACATCCTATAATGGGGGAGTGCGTTGCTGATCACATGTAGAAACCTGTGGATGCTACGTCACCCCAGCATGTTGCTACGGTGACAGTGTCACATGTAGGCATGCTCATTTTGGCTTATGTTCCCCATAGGACATTTCCCATAATACAATGTATATTTCCTATTGATCAAGCTGTGTGGTATATCATGGGATTGTAGTTCAGTCAGAGAAGCTATCTGTAGGGAAAAATGGGAACATCAGGCTTTCAAATTTCAGCTCCAATGAGGCAATGCATTACAGTGGAAAAGAGAACTTCAATGCTGAACTGACTAATATGGATATTTTAGATTAGTCTAACACTTCAAAATGAGCCAGTGTGACTACCAGAATATGAAGATATTTCTGATTTTTTGCCACCCCCTCCAAATAAATTATGAGAAAAATGTCAAAATTTTAACTTCTTATCCTGATTTGGGGCAAAAAGAGAGGTTAAAATGGTAACATTTCACTCAGGACATAAATTTCAGCAATTCTCTTCACTAAAGTTATAACTCATAAGCAATGGTCCATGCAGAGAACAAAAGAAGTCACAGAGAGAAAGTGCTACATTTGTGACTTTTAGTGCTAGCTCATACATGAGAGGTCTTTAGTACTATTCACATTTTCTTAATGGACAGTGTTGTGCGCATATCCTAACAGGTGTCCCACCATACTGTATTTTCTCACATACAACATACACTTTTCCCTGCAAAATTGGGGGTGCATGTCTTAAGCAGGAAAGCTGTTTTCTTCACTGAAAAGGAAACACACTGATAAATACTCTGCTGTAATACAACTACCAAGATGGCTACTGCTTATGTCTGGTTCAGTGAGCCAGAGGCAGAATCCTATGTTAACCCTCTCATAGTTATAGCTATTACCTGAGCACTGTAACTTGTGCCTGAAACAGCAAGTGAGCTGCTGGTTGTATTTTGATGAGGCTTGTAATGTAGAAACAATAATTTATTTACAGGAACACACACACACACACACTTTATTTGAAGAACTATTAACAATAAAGAACTAACACTCTTGTTACTGCTCTTGCAAATGCCTGGGCCTAACCTCGTGTGACAAAGTCCTCCTAGAAACATTTGTCCAGACACTGTGGTATCCCAGGAGACAGTCTAGGTGAGGCAACAGGCATCAGAAACTTCCTGGCACTACTATATCATAATCATTCATGACTGTAAAAATCTTTTCTTCTACATTCTGCCTTCCAAAAACAGGTGCATGTTTTACTTGGGGTGTATTATATGTGAGACAATAAGGTATTTTATTACCTTTACAGTTAGTCTGGATAGGACAGACATGCTAAAGAAATGTAGCAATGGCTTAACAAAACAACTAAATCATCATGGAATAATGATTTAGCAATAAACAGTACTAGTACTTTACATCTATGAAGTATCCCAGGGACATTACCTCTCTGGATGTCTTAAGACTTTGTGGAGCGAATCCTAACAGGTTTTACACAGCTCCATACAAACTGGCACAGGAGTGGAATTTGAGGAAATATATGTGAATGCTTGTACAAGGCAGACACTTCCAACAAAACTCAGAGTTATGGACCTCAATATCAGTATTTTAATTTAAGGATCTTCAAGTCAGCTGGGACATTTCATATAACATCTTCTATTTGAAGATATCAGAATGCCTCACTGATATTACCTGATTAAGTCTGTAAACCATGCACCCCTGTGAAGAGTTATGGTAAACACACTAGGGACCAATTTCAAATTAAAACCTTAGTACCCTTCTCACTATAGCTGGGAAGAAGGCAAAGCAGAAGTTGAGGAGGAGGCAGAGAGAACAAAGGTTTCAATAAGATGATCCTACCTGGGTTTCCCTGAGCCATGGAGTCATAAATGAGTTTGCAGGATTTCAGCAGGATAGCAATCTTCTTCTCTGGGGAATAGGCCTTGTGCATAGTTGTAAACTTGTGAATTATTTTTTCCAGCACAGCTGTTTCAGGCACGCTAGTGGTGATACCTAGGTCAGTGGTGGTTGTGCTTTGTATGACAAGCTGGTTCTCCTTCAGCAGCTGAAAGACTCCATCTTTGGTATGGATTTCCCTTAGGTATGAATCGATGGCATCTTTTAAAGGTTTCAGGACACATTTGTACAAAGCTGACTCAACAATCACTTCTGCATAGAAAGGGAAGGGGTGAGAACAGGAAAATGCAGAAATCCATTAAAAAAAATCAGCACAAGGGCATAAATATGTCCCTGACATAAGCAGATATGATTCCTACCTCATTAGCAAATTAAAAACCATGTCAATGATAATTGGGGTGCAAAAGAATGTGGCTGATAAATAAGTGTCCTCTGCATCAACTAAGCATTTGGTAATTTTGCCAAGGGAATGATTTATACCCCTAAGTGGTAGAGTAGTGGAGATGCCATAACAAGCTGATCCCATGTCCTGGGCAGGACAGAAACCACTATGAAAGCACAGGCCACCACCACTTCAGCTAAAGGAGTAATTCAGTGAACTGGCAGTGGCTGTGGGCTTTTGTGACTCATAGTTTACAAGCACGTTACTGTAATGTATCAGGAAAACCAGTTAAGAGGAAATGGGAAGTAAAGCAGAACATCACTTTACCAGACTGTTACTCGTTGCTTTTCCTCCAACAGCCTGCTCTCATGGAGCCTGACTGGGTACAGCTACACTACAGCAGCAGAAAGCTCACTGTCACTGCTGAGGTAGTAAGTTGTAGCTACCTGCTGCTGCTCCACATGCAGCGACCCTAGGAATGAGGTGGTAGGATGCCCTGGGACACCTCGTGCTCTTGGCGCATGCGGGCAACCTAGTTCCTGAGCTGCTCCCTAGGCATTCTCACCACTTCATTTTTGGGGGCTGGGCATAAGACATGGGAGCAGCTAGGAGAATATTACTGCCTTGGCACTAACAGCTCTCTGCCACCGCAATCTAGACATTCTCCAAGTGTGGTAATTACAGTAACTTGCTGACATGCAGGAAAGTATATCACATCTACATCCCTTGCAGATACTGCTCTATGAGCCACACTTACTTAACATACCAGAGAAAAACTGCAGCCTGGAGAAACTACAGAAAAAAATTGCAATGCGTTGTTGCTGTTACATAGCATTATAGAAAGGCCAGGCTGGAAGGGACCTCAAGAGGTCATCTACTCCAGGTTCCTGCCTTGAGGCACAATATTGGTCAGAGTCACTTGAGAGTACTGTGCTTGGTCAGTGAGCACCAAAATCATGACAATGTCATTTACTCACACAAAATGCAGCTGTTTTAAAGAATATTTTGCTACTTCCTACAGAGAGTATCAATGAGCAAAAGCTGCTATTCGGGAAGGATATGGTCTAAAATAGCTCTCTGTGGGAATCTCTTTTGCTCCTCCACCTCTTTCCCCCAACTGAGTTAGGCCTTTTCTAATTTAACCTTTTGACTCTGAGCCAACACGTTGTCTCTGTGGGTGTGTCCCCACGAGCGCGCATGTGTTGTTTGTGGTGCCTTAAAGCCATTTGAGGCGCCACAAACCACATGCAGCACATGTATATCCATGTGCTACACTGCTAATTTGCAGCACAGAGGTTTGTTTTTGACACTGGGAGATCCCGATGTCAAAAAAAAAAAAAAGCTGCTAAAAAACGCGGTGTGACACATGTGGCAGCAGCAGGTGCCACCAGAAACAAGAGCCTGGCCACCCAGAGCCATGCTCTGGCTGCTGGCCAGGCTCCAAGTGGCTGGCTCAGCGCTGCTGCTGCCATGGCAGGCCCCCAGGACTACAGGTAAGATGGCTGGGGCCAGCACAGGTGCTGGTCTCAGCTTCCCCTACCTCACCTGAGTCCCTTTGCCGTGTGCTGGAGTGCGCGTGTAGGGGTGTGTCCAGGGACAAATAGCAGGGGCACAAATATATGCTGCTGCTGTTTGTCCCACAGGAAACATGTGCCCCTGCATGTGCATGCTTGTGGGGACATGTCTTATGGGTTCAAAGAATAAAAATACTATCAGATGTAACCAGACATATGGGGAAAGGGGACACAAAAAGGACAGTGCCTAGTGGGACATGTGCCAAGGGAACCAAACAATCCTGTGGGAGCTGAGAGGCAGTAGAGAGTCATGACACCTCCCCAGCGTGGTCCTGATCTCGGTGGACCATGGGCTTTCTGTGGGTTATTTAGCCTGGCTCTCCTGGTGATAAATGCAAACCAAGACCAGTGGAAAAAAGAGAACTTGGGCACAATTTTCACATTGTTTTAACCCACACATATATGAAAATAACACAGGCTTGGTTCAGTGCTGGTTCAGAAGTCTGCACTTTGGAAGTCATGGAGTTTTGGTGTCTCTGACTTTACTATCGGGTTTTCACTGTTTTATTCCCTTCAAGGTCCGGCTTCACAACATGCATAATTTTGTGTGGATATTTTTGCCTGGATTTTTGCTTTCCATGTCATAAGTGCCTGGAAATTTTAGGAAGTATGGATATCCCAAGAGGGGGAAGACAGTCAGTACAGGAATGCTTTAACATATGCCTGTCACCATTAATTGCTTTGCATAAGGAGGCCTTCATCTTAGGCAAATCTTTGGGAGGGATGCATCTCATGTCTTTCCACAATTCTTATCTTTTGGCTCCTATTCCCTACGGCACACAATAACAGGGCTCATGACCTATCCCTGCAAAAAATACAGAAATACACCTGCTGGCATTTAACTAGACCACTACTCAGTACAAAAGGTACTGACACAATATACCCCATGCTTTAAATGAAAAGCCCATAACTGTTAAGCAATCCTGCCCCCACCCCTTTTCAAGAAAACAAACACCAGCAAGGGGAGTCCCCTGGAATGGGATCTGGGTCAGAGGTAGATGCTGTTTCGGGGGGTCAGGAATGTTTTTACACTCTTCTCTTGATCAGCTGGGGAGCACAGAGCATGGTTTCCCTGAATGTTGTCTTTCAAAATTAGCCATAATCCCAGAGACAGATCCATTAATCTCTGAAATTAATGCCATATGTGGAGGGAAATTCTACATTCTACATTGAGACCCTCATACCAGAGCCCCACTCCACCATGTTCATTGAACACATCTTCTCAGGATACAGAAGTTCATAAAATATGGAACATTATGGCAGGGGTCTGCAATATTTATCTATGGGGTGAAGACAGGGCTTTCTGCAAAGCTTAGGAAAGACTGTCTTTGCTCATGGAACTGAATCTCTTTCAGGCCATTCTTTTATTTCTATTTTTCTAACTGGTTTCTTCAGTGTTAATACCATGACCCAAATACAGATAATCTGAGAGGAAAATGTAGCCTCTAACACTGAGGTTTCATGGAACATCCCATCGCTTTCTGAAGAACCACCTCAGCTCTTCAGATATGACCACCACCCTCCCCCTCTTCACAAGCATCCCCTCCATTCCCAGAGAAGGAATAAAATGGGAGCACATACCTATCTGTTCTTCTGAATAAACAGAAGGATCGAGGAGAGCTTTCAGCTCTGTACTTTGCACTAAATAGCTTTTCAGCTGTGTCATCATCAGACGGATTTCCTGCAGCATCTCCGTGCTGGAGCTCTGTTTTGCCATCATCTCCAGACTGTACACTCTGTAGTCCTGCACCAAATTGCCAAAGTAAGAGTCCTTGTCCTGAGATAGCTCCACAATCTTCTTCTGCAGCTTTCTGTTAGCAGAGAGGAAGACTGTGAAGACATTTGTTAAGCTCACAAAGGACAGCCTGTGCTTGGCCTTATCCAGAATCACGGACCGTGTCTTTTTAACAGAGGGACTACTCAGTTGCTCGAAATCATCCTCAGTGCTGCTGGTGGAGTAAGAATCAGGCTCAGAAGCAGAGGTATGAGCTGCTGCACTGCTCCCTGGACAGTCCAAGGAGGAAAGAGAACCTTTAAGTTCAAACGACCCAGACGATTTACAGCAGGCCCCTAGTGCATCCTGAGCGTCGGAGCAGGCGACATCACCTGCTGGCTGCAAGCCGTCTTTGGATGAAGTCTCTGCAGTGCTTGTATCTGGTGCTGAAATGTTGACTGACTTTGTGTTATAGGAGATAGAGATGGAGGCTTGCTGGGAAAGCCTCTTCTTTCTTGGTGGTGGGATAGGGGGCATCTTCCCTTTGGCTGTGGAGTTCCTCAGCGGCTGGGGCATGCACTCCTTCTCTGTAGGCTTTGCTGCCTCGCCCTGTGTTTCAGCAACACCTTCAGGCTCTTCTATGGCTGTTAGGCATACAGACTGGCTATCGTTGCTCTCAACAGAAGCATATTGTTCCTCCATTGGTTCCCTTTGAGGTGTTTCGCATTTTGCAGACTTATCTACACAGGGGTCTTGTGAAAGTCTTTCAGATAATCGCCTCCTGGGAGGGACAGAGGGCTGATCACATTTCTTAGGGACTGCTGGAGGGAGGTCACTGGATGAGCAGGGCTCTTTCCCTTCTTCTTCCATACTTTCATTGCCCTCTGTTTTCATTTCTGTTGGGCTCTTTCCTGGAGGCTGAAGAAGCAGCTGGTTGTCTTCACAAGCAGTCATGGAAACCTTCGATAGCTTTTTAGATGACTTCAGGACCTGGCCATGAGGAGGCGGCGGTGGGGGACGGCGAGGAGACTTCTTGAGACTCAGCGTGGTGGTGATGGCATGAGAGAGCTCAGAACTCACACTGCAGCTTTTGGGAGGAGGTACATCTGGAGGAAAACGATTACTGCACTCTTCTATAAAAATAGGATTCACAAACCACAGCCTGTCATTTCCTATTGACAGCTCAATTTCACATGAGCATTGGTTTGTGTCGCTTGCAAAATGCTGGCTAGATCTTATATTGTCTGTCTGGGTGGTGCTGAAGGCAGAGTCTTTCACAGCCTGGGAAATTCCCCCTCTCCTTCTTCTGTGGTTTAAAGAGGAGTCCCAGAAGCCTGTTAAAAATAGCAGAATTTGGCAATTGTCCTGAGAGAATCTTAACTTCTAATAGAGAGAGACAGGTAGCTGTGTTAGTCTGAAATCAGGCAGAAGGCAGGGCGGGATGGCACCTTAGAGGCCAACCCCTTCAGGGAAGCATACACTTTCATAGGCAACAGGCAACTTTGTCAGATGGTACGAATAGACTAACTTCTAACAGGACATTGGAGAACCACTTTGTATCAAAAGTGCACGAGCAAAGTTTCTACCATGCTGGACCCAAACCCCCCAAGGTCTAAAACACTGATTAATTTTTTGGCTTTTTAGTCTCTCCTCTGACCTCTATGTAAAATGCAGTGTGAGAGGATTTTGAAGGGGATGTTTCAAGCTCAAATGAAGACAGGAAGGAAACAGAAATTTCATCAACTGTTTCTTGCCCCAATTTGAGTTGTTCACACAAAAGAAACAACCACCCTTAGGAAGCTTGTCCATTGCTAAATGTGAGGGCAGCCGATAGTGCATGCTCAACAAACAAACTGACCAACCTCTTTATCTCATTAAAATCAAAATGTCACAATAGCCATAGCTCACTAAGGAGAGCGTAGAATTTGGCCATGAGAAACTACTGCATAGAAAGTACTGAACATTGCTTATCCATTGACCTAAGGCAGCAGTGCCAAAGATCTGACCTGCACGGCCCCGGCACCTGGCTCCCACATGCCATACTAGGCAAATGCTGGACTGGTCAAGTATACATACAGTGCCTGCCCTGGCTGGTTTGGGACTGTGCTGCACATGAGACCCACACAGCATGCAGGCAGGTGCCACATGTAATGCGGGTCCCAAACCAGCTGGAGTGGGCACCCATGAGGTACAGTCCCAGACTGGCTGGAATGAGCACTGCACATGTTGGATCCAGCATGAGGGTGGGGCTGGTCTGCGGGCCTGATCCATCCCATAAGGCCAGCCACACACCATTCATCTGGCCTGTGGACTGGCCCTGCACCACTCATCCAGCCCATGAGAGAAAATGAATTAGACACTGCTGATCTAAGGCCAAAAACCCAGACATGTTTCACGCTATGAGATGTCTATGTAGTTAAAAGTCCCACACCCACCCCAGGCAGCACATCAGAAGTTGCCAGACACAGAGGTGGAAGATAGCTACATATGATTAGACTGCGTGATGGGGAAATCCATAAACAGACAACAGGTATGTCTTGCACACACCCAGAAGGCAAGACACATCACCATGCTTCAGAAAGGGCAGTGAACTGACCATTCCAGGAATCATAACAGTGGCTTGGGGTCCAAATCCTGAAATTACTTAGTAGCAGATACAGGGATGATTCTGTGGTAAGAAGTCCCATTGTCATGGCTGGGACTGCTCACAGCAGCAGCCGCTATGGCTACAGGAAAGCTTTCAGGACTCAGCCCTTAGTTTTGAATTCAGAGACCCAAATTCTCCTCTCAATGACTCCAGCACACCCCTCCGAACTTCAAATATGGGTGAAATTGAGAAGAGAACTTGGCCAAAAATCAGCAGGACAACATTTGGGTTCATTTTGGATGGCCAAAACTGAGAGCTGACTGATCCCAGCATCACTCTGATTTTATGTACTCCAGTAACCCTTTTTTGTCTGACGTTGGTCCTGTTTGTCTAGCACATATGTGGCTGCACAGGTCCTAACAAGCCGATCACTCTACACACTCACTTGTCCTTTTATTCAAACTTATTCACGTTCCATCCATCTACAGAATTAGCTCATACAGAGAAGCCTGTGGGTATCACACATCTTTCAGGGCACCCTCAAAGCTTATTGGAAGCATGTAAGGTAGTTTGGCCAGTGGACAGAAAGCTGGCCTGGTACTCAAATAACCTGGGTTCTGCTCTTATTCTGCCACTCTCCGGTGGCAAAACTTCACTTCTCTGTGCCTCAGTAAAACATAGCTAATCCTTTTGCTGGCCACGGTATAGTACTTGGAAACCTATGGCCAAAAAGCACCAGCTAAAAGTTGCATCGTGTTATTACTACAGACTGTTCTTTCCACACCCGAGGGAGTGCACAGGTAGATGCGTGGAGTCACCATGGGGTAGGAATTCTGTTCTCAAGGCTACAAAGGGCCTATATAGAACCTATTCTAGCCCACTTCATATGCCATCTTATAGAAGGAAAGATAGGACAGTTTCTTCCCATACAGCCCTGGACATGGAACGTTTCTGTTTTACTCCAAAGACTGGGCTGGCGTCCATGACTAATATTGATTTACAAGCATGTCACCGTGTTTTTATACTTAGGAAGGTTTATTCTATGATTACATTATGACCCCTGCCAGGGCAGTGGTGAGGGGAAACTGGACACATTTCTTAGAATAAATACACATTGACAGAGACGCTAGAAATTTCTGAGTATAAAACAACTGTGCGCATGTGAGCATTCATTTCTCATCACCCTGTTTCTGAGACCAGCAAGTAGGGTTAAATGCAGTGCAATGGAATTTTCTTATCTAGGGCAGCTAGATGGTGTTGCACCATTTCATGGGTTGAGGAAGTGAAGGATATGTCATCCATTTGCTACGAAAGGGGAAGTTCCTAATTTTCCCCATTAAAGGACAAAGGCAAAGCTCTAGGCCTACACAGCTGCTTCACGCTGAAGCTATTCCAGCCCACTCCAGAAGCCACCCTATAGAATGAAGGATAGAAAAACTTATCGATTACCTGCCCCCTTCCCACGCACAGTATGCTGCTGCCTGGGGGTGCATTATCCACAAGGTTAGAAGTTGTTGCATGAACCTCCGATATGCAGCAGAACCACAGTTGCTCTCTTGTAAAGGCATCCTTTGCACTGAAGAGAGGCTGCATTTTCACGTTGTCATTTCAGCAATGTGCAAATTGAATGGGCTTTCTTTTTCTGATAGAACCACACTCAAAGTCACCTTTCAGTGCTCTACACAACATGACCTATAAGCCTTACTATAACAGACAAAACCTGCGCAGAATAATTCAGCTTGAAGCTGGACATCTGATTTCTGTCCCATGAGAATATGTGAACTTTGGAGGAAATGGAAATTGATAACTTTGCAAACAATGCCTGGTTTCCTTTTGGACAGGAAAAGTTGGTGGCTGCCTACCACGTTCTGCTTGTATAGAGTTTATTGTAAGAAGCAATAATATGACCCTCAATATTTCAGCCTATTTGACCTTATTAAGATGCACTAGAGCTCCAGGAAGCTCGTAAGATTTAGTACAACTCTCCAAGGTAACTTTCCAGGATCTCTTTTGTTTTCAGAAACCTCCCTTGGACCCAAAGTGCTATAATATGCACAAGACCAGATGCCATCACTTCAGATGCCACTATCACAGAAGAAAGAAGAGAAAGAAAAAGCCTACAGCTATAGGTTTTTTAAATGACTAGTGATTTGGTTTGTCCAGCTTGTGGTTTTATTAAGAGCTCTTATTTCTAGACATTACTCAGAACTCATCCGTTGAAAACCAGGTCTCTTTAAGGGGGCTCAAACTGAGAACACAAAAATATAAGCTCTTAAAAGCAGATCCCTTTAAAATCCCTTTAAAATTTTAAATCATCCCCTCCAAAATCCTCTCCCAATTAATCACAGTGTTTTAGACCTGGGATGGCTTGGGTCCAGCATGGTAGACACTTTGCTTGTGCTCTTTTGATACAAAATGGTTTTCCAATGTCCTGTTAGAAGTTTGTCTATTCATAGCATCTGACAAACCACACTCTTCTTTTTTGCTATACCTCTGAGTTACAAAGCAGCATTTCCTCAGTGGCTGGCATGGGTCAGGTACCCAAAGCCAAAGAAATTTGGAGAAAACCAAAACTCAAAGCAAAACTGAGGTAGCCTGGAATTGTGAGAAGTGAATCTGTTGGTTAAATGTAGTGTAGCTTGTGTGAACTGAAACTGAGGGTGGGCAGAAGAGCTGGAGTTACCCAGGCTTATTTTGGGTGTAATTCAGAGTATTAAAAAAAAAAAAATTGGAAAAGCCCCAAAGAATTCTACTACTTAGGTGATATATGTCATCACACTACAGATATCAGACAACTTAGCTGATTTCGTTTCCCTTCCAGTAGAAGAGGAAGATATTGAAAGCATTTCTAAGTACATTTATTTGACAGAAGGCATTGGGCAGTGTCCCTTTTCAGTTATATTCGTTGAGAGGTGTCAAACACATTAGGCCCCATAAGTAGGATGAGTAGCGCAAAGTTGATCCATGGGCCAGATGAATAGCATGGTGCCAGTCCATGGGCTGGACTGGGCCTGCACACTGGCCCCATGCACTGGATCCAGCACACAGGGCTAGTCCAATGCAGGCATTATATGTACCAGATCTGGCTGCTCACGCAGTATACAGCACGCATGCCAAAATCCGGCCCACACATTGGTCCCAGTGTTTGCCACATGTGGATCCAGTCTTAGATCCACAGGCAGCACTGTGGACCAGCTGATAGGGCTGCATAGGTTAGATCTAGCCTGTAAGCCATATCTTTGACATACCTGCATTACTCCATGTGGAAAACACAATAGGAAGAATCATTTTGCTGAGCAAAGTAAAGGACCAACCAAGGTTTATGTAAAACATGAAAAACATGGCAGCTATTTGCTTCAGCAGGAATAAAAATTAGGCGTTGGGGATAATCTAGAAAAAAAGCAAAAAACCCAACCAAGTTCTTCAGCAGAAGAAAAGCTGAAACTAGTGCAGGAGCAAGGTGTTGAATACAAAGTTTGTCTTAGCAGAAGTAGGTTTAACAGTGAGGAATCTGAGTTGCTTAGCCAGAGTTCCAGCTCAGCTAACAGAGCACAGACCTGAGTAGGATGAGGCAAGAGAAGTGTCTAAGTACAGCTGCTATCTAAGCAACTAGGCGTGCAAAATCTCCTTCACAGGCACATGTAGACCGCAGAGTAACAGAAATCTGTTCAGGCCTGTTAGACACCAGATCTAATTTCTGGGTTGACCAATTTTCTGAAGAGTATAAAATTCCTGTACCTTGTGGCCACTAAGCACCAGCTCTCATGCAAAGCAGGGGAAGTATGCTAGCAACACAGAGCCATGCGAACAAAGAGGTGCTAGAACATCACATCCTTCAGTCTTGGCAGTCTCTGAAGTACTTTATTTTCAGAATGGCTTTGCTCCAGGTGGCAGTGGGTTGCTAATTTGGAGCTAGGTAAAACAGTCAAAAATGCCTGGGGACTAGAGGATTTATCCTTGCTCAGACTTGAACCAGGAACCAAAAGCAGGTAAGGTGCTTTTGCCATAAAGGAGCACACCATTAGCTGATATTAGTGATTACACTTACAGCAGCTTTCAAAGCCTCCAGGCACAACAGGCAAGACTGTTATGGCCCCTGCATCACACTGCATTTAAAATGTGATTAACCCCTTAATTATGTTTTAAACTGTAATCCAGCCATATGTTAAAGCAATTAAATGGTACCATAAAACAAGAAATAATATACAGTTATTCCACCAAAATGTGTAGTAACTTTGTTGCTGGTTCTTATCACATCTTTAACTGAACATGTAGCCATGTAGGCCCGGGTACCTGGGAGTGCTGTTAGCTGATAGTGCACCCCCTGGCTGGGAACCTGGATCAGCTGACAGGGCTCCCAGCCATGGGAACTTACTATTTGCTCGTTTAGGATGATACAGAAACTGTGATCCTGGCAATAAGATGTGCACTGGCAATAAGGTGTGATAGGATCTGATGCTCAATCCTGCAATCATGCCTCCTGCCATGCATGTGTGGCGTGGCAGAAATGTGACTGTGTAGATCAGGTATCAGATCTCATTGCACCTTTACCTGCACATCTGGCAGGGGCCTATTATAAAGCAAGGGCCTTCCAAGCACTCCCATGCCCTTAAAAGCACAAAGGTAGAAATCATGTGTGACTGGCCCATTCACAATGATGATTTTGGTTGGTACAAACAAATAGATTTTACAGTTTATATTTCTGACCGAGGAACTGACAGGCTACGAGTTCATCCATGTTGAACATACAGATTTGCCAAAAAACCAAACAGACTCCTGATATTGAAATAACCACTTGAAATTCACCATGAAAAAAATCCCTCCCCACCTTCAGCCTTGGGTATTTGAAATCCTAAGATGAAATTTGGTGTGCAGTCGTGTCATTAAAAGCAACATCCATCTTCATATGCAGAAAACATCCCCTTTATCAGGCTGACACCAAGCAACACGACACATGCATTTGCCACACCCGAGCTGAGCAGGAGTCCTGATGGATCAGATTAAATGCAGAGGCTTCACTGTTTATAGTTTTCTTCCCACACACTAGAGAAGGGGAATGTATGAAGTCGGTGAACTGCTGGAGGATGGGGGGATGTTTTATCTTTCCATTTGCTTGGGCTTCCAACTAAATTGCATATTTGCCAATTATCCTGGATGGGGCCAGGGCACTCAGTCATTATGTTGGAATGTTACTTAATGCCTACAACTTCTTATCAGCGGGAGTGCAATTTATACATCTGGCAAACAGGCTAAAGGGATAGAGATGGGCTGAGTAATGTCAGACATGCATGGGCATGGGCAGAGGCCCCTTTTAGCATATCTAGCTATATGTATTGCAGGGATGTCAAACTCATCTGGTCCCGTGGGCTGGGTAAGTGACGCAAGGCCAGTCTACAGGCAGGGTCAGACCCATGGACCCCAGCCAGAACCAGTCTGCAGGCTGTAGTTTGACACTTCTGCTGTGAAGGAAACAGAATCCATCTCCTCTGTATTTGGGCTTCTTCACCTGTTCCAAGAGCTGTTTTATCATAGCAAGTCCATCAGCCTTTTCAGTGAAGAGGTTCTCACAACTTTGTGCAAAGCAAATGTTGTTTTAAAAGACTTACCTATCCCCAGGCTAGAAATAATTTCAAGATCTTGGAAACTACTGGCCTCTAATATTGCTTGTGGCAGCTTCAGTGTGAAGGGCAACAAATCCCTGTTAAAAATAAAGAAAGGAAAAAAAAACTCCAGTGGGTCAAACAGCTTGCGGTTCATTTTTAGCAACTGGATTTGCTGGTAAGTCTAGCTCAGTTCTGCAAAGTGGTGAACATCCTTAATTGCCACTAAAGCCCCAAACATACCCCAGAGATAGGAGAAACTTAAGAGTGGGAGGGATCTCTGGAGGCCTCACGCAGAGTGCCTTGAGTTTGTAAGTATCCAATGTAATAGGCATTTGGCAAAAAAGGATCCATGAGAACATCTCGCCTGGGCCCTCTGCACACCATAGCTACAAAGCACTTGGAAACCCTCCTCTGCACCCCAAACTCCAGTACCATATAGTAGGTCACTGGAAGAGAGCAGGAGAGACAAGGCTTTCACCAATGCCCTGGGTCCCCCCACAGTTGCAGGGAATTTGGTAGATAATGCCTAGAGAATTCTAGAAAGTGAATTATTCTACATACTACAGACAAAAGCAAACCCCACAACAGTCTCTGCCAATTTAACTTGGAGGAAAATTCCTCCCTGGCCCTAAATCTTATAATCAGCTTACCCCTGAGCAAGGCCCGCCAGCCAGGTGCGTGGGAGGATTCTCAGTATTGCAAGGAGCATGAGGCCACCACACCTAACTTTCCAGATCTAGCTAGCGACAACGCCCAAAGAAATCTGCAATTTGCATCAGTTGAGATTACTCTGGTTTTCAGCAGATTCTTAGCCCCAGTGAGCCTCTTTGTGCCATTCAGGTGGTTTAACCTCTGTGCCTCCATTTCTTCATTCAGGAAATAGCAATAATGAGACCAACCTGAATGGGGCTCTGAGACATTACATTATGAGATTTTTGGATGGAAAAAGCTATAGCACTGCAAATAGGTACAATGCAATTACTTATTAGTTAATATTGGATTCTCTTTTTGGTGACTCATAGGCCTTCCTCTATCACCCTTCCCATCCCTCCAAATCTAGCTCTCTCCTTCACGTAAAATAATTTAGATTAGATTTATTTATTTAGATTAATTTAAATTAGATCCTAACTTACAGGGTAAAGTTGATAAAGTAGCCTATTGTATGATGTGACAAGAGGTAATGAAACATGTTATGGCAGGGAACTTGGCAGCATCCCTTAACTCTGTAGTCTCAGTCTTTGTGGAGGTTTTGGAAAGTGTGGAATTTTTCTGAAGAAAACAGAATTCATCAGGGAGGGCTGGCAAGAGTCATAGGAATATACCTTCCATCTGGGCTCTATGGGGAAGCTTTTGGGATTGCTGATAATTGTTTTGCCTTGGTTCACATCTAACAATAATTTGCAATACCATTTCTACCTAATCCCTCTCCTTACAAGGCCCTTAAAAGTCAACAATAAAATGAAACGGGCAGTGAGGCACAGGCTCTGGCTGGCTTTACATGTTAAAAAGCTTAGCTAGCCATTCAGCAAGCAGCAGGAAGTCATTTTGAAAAAAACTAACCTCATGACTGGTTGGTCTCTGTTTAAAAAAAAATCTAAATGATATTGCAGCTCTAAAAAGAGCTAGTCTGCTGACAGATGAACCTGCTGTGACCTCCTTTGTCCCTTTCTAAAGGGCATGCGTTTTGCTGACTGGACTGTGTACCCCATGGTTCTGCCTGCTTCACTGAGTGCTTGGCTGGTTGATTATTTTTAATAAGCTGAGCTAGAGCTGGGATCTCTTTGTGGAAAATGTGTGGGTGTAAAAGAGGAACTGGGAGTTAACGCACTGGCCTTCTCTTACTATGTTCTTCATGTGCGTGAATTTATTGTTGAGATGCATAGATCTGACTATGGAAAATATTATTAAGCAGTGGCACTTCTAGAAAAAGATCCATTTCATTTGCAGGCCAGGCAGTTTACATGCAAGTCACCGAGTCACTCATTGACTTACAGGTACTATTTTAGTGGTGCAAGGTAATTTAGCCACTTGCTAGAACAGATCTGGCCTTCTCCTGAGAAGAGACTGTCAGCAGTGATAAACTGTTTCCAATTATTTATAGATTATTATTTACTAGAGACTGAAAAGAGGTCAATCCACTCAATCATTCGGGAGCATGCACTGGACTTCTAGGTGCTCCCCAGAGGGGAAAAAATCAGTGCTTAACCTTTTTTGTTACTCGATGCTGACAGAAAATTATTTCTCCATTTACCTTCAGCAGTCTTACAAATCAGTAAAAACATCAAAAGAACGTTTTATACCCCGTAGTATCCTCTATAAAAAGGAACTAAAAGCAAGGTCTTTCTTCTTTGTTATGGAATGTGCATCTTTAGCTGGGATATAGTCTACTGTGCTTATAACGCAGATGTGAACTTCCTCCTGCCCCCCATGGATCATATGGTTAGAAAATCTGGACCCAACTCTTATTAACATTCAGTCTGTTTTATGACACTGGCAACACAACTTACTATCATTGTTGGATCCTTTCCAGAACAGTATAAAGTGACCTTATCATAAATCGATTACTGCTGTGGACCTGATCTAACTTGGAACTACGTATCGACAGCAGCCCAGCACAAGTTGCAAAACCTGACCCACAAGGGTAGCTAATTTAAACCTAGCCCAGATGTGTCTACACTACACTGCAAGGTAGACATACCCCAAGCAGCTTCAATCCTCTTGTGATTACTGTTATGGGACTGCAAGGGTGATTGAGGGTTATCTTCAAACTGCCAGCAGTTTAAATCAAATTTAAAACCAGACTTGATAAAGCAGGAGCAGCGCAAAAAGGATGCACTGATACCACTGCAAAAAGATTGGCACAAATGCATATTTTAGATTAAACTGAATTACTACAGATCCATAGATTAGATTACACAGGGTTAACATTAGATAGGGAATGACCCCTGATAAAGCAGAAAGGACAATATAACAAGCCTTTTCTATCTCTAAAGTTTGTATGGCACATTTTTAATGTTTTATTCTGAATTAGTGTGAAATATTTACTATTATTTGTCTAAACTTCCCATCAAATTCATAAACCACAATCTTTCCTCAAGTTCTCTCAGCTCTGCTGGCAGTTTTTGCACGAGGTGGTTATTCCTTACTCCCCCACACCAAGCCCTTTTATGCATTCACTACTCTGCACTAGCTTTGGGCCCGGTCCCATAGCCCTTCCTTAAACAAAACTCCCAGTGAAGTCAGTGGGAGTTCTAGGTATCTAACTATTGTGAATTGCACAATTTAGCGTTACTCTAATAACAAGGAGCTGAAAGTTTAGTCATGTTCTGGAGCCTGCAAGCTTGAACTGAGCTCAGCGTGAACCCGAGCAGGTATACAGTTGTGGTTAGATACTTACAGGTTTTACATACTTATAGGTGTCAACATGCACATGAGCAAACCCCAGTGGTTTTGGCGAAGCTGTGCTTTTAGTTTTTTCAAATGTGAAAGCACAGAAGACCACTCCATGGTGGCAAAAGCCCATACATGAGGGCTGAACTTAAGGTCTATGTGAGCTAAACCCACCAAATTCACTGCAACTCTGGTAGAAGCACAATTGTAAGGTGCAGCATTTGGGACTGGCCAGTAGAAGCGTGACAGCAATTTGAGAGATGGGAACACACCATTTCCACGCAAAACTGAGGAAGTTTGAATTTTATGACTAGGCCTCTTTGTATAATGGTCAGGACTGGAACCAAGCCGGACAAAACTGGGAAATGTGAATTCAGTTCTGGGCCAGAATTTCATTACTTGGGCTCATCTCTAATTCATAGCAGCTGCACCCCACTTACACTCACATCTCATCTTCCTTACTTAAGAGGCAGAAAGAACAATCTCTGCTCTTATAGTTCTAAGTGCTTCTATTTGTGGACCTGTCATAAACCCAGCCTGACTCCAGTGAAGTCAGTGGAATTACACTGGTATTACCCTGAGAGCAGAATCTGGCGCTTGAACTGTTGGTTGCTTTGGGTACACATACATGGGCAATGTCTTGGAAAGGTGGTATTTACAAACCAAGTACTATACAGGAGCTAACCACCCTTTTGTTCCACCCCTGCATGACAGTAAAAGCCAGCTTCAAGCATGGAGTTACCCTAGGCCCACCATGAAGCAATCCCAATACAGAAACCATGAGTACCACTTACCTACTGACGCAGTAGAATGCTACCAGTTTGAAGACATCCTCAAACACTAGGACGGATCCCTCCAGGTACAAGACTGATAAGAAACAAAAAAGTATTCAGCAGCTGTTTTCACTGAGCCCCATGGGAAAGAGATGGCTGAGTTTGGCTCTCACTCATCTTTGTTTCAGTGGCAGGGGAGGAAGAGGAGTTTAGCCATTGTTTGGGAGAATACAAATGTCAAAGAATTGGTTCCAGCTGGCGTACTGCAATCTATTTTTTTTTCAGGAAAATGTAGAAGGAGCTGAGAGTCCATCTTAACACTAGTAAATTTAGGAGAAGCCAATGTGTTATGGTAACACTAGAAACAATGGAACACAAAATATATGTGTATGCACACATTCCTGACAAATGATTATGATTTCTAATTTTTGTGTTGTAAGCCAGAAAAGGATTATACCATCTACTACCGTGCATACTTCAAGGAAAATCACAGAGAAAATATTACTGAACTGTAACAAGATACACAGTACTTTCCAGTACTCTAGATTGGATTTCTATGTTATAAGATGCTAATGGAACCCCAGTTATTGAATTTTGAAGGTTTACTAGATGGTTTTCTAATCACGCAATTCAGGACAATCTTGGTATATAATACAGTTCATATAAAGCAGTGTGGTCAGTTTTAAAACAGGAAGACAATCTCTTTGATTATCTGCTTCAGAGTTTCTTTCCATGAAAACAAAGAGGCAAAAGCAGGAATATATGAGACAAGAAGCAGAGTAATATTGCCACATTTAGTGAAGCACCACCTAGTGTTGAATATGTATTATCATTTCAGTCACAGTGAACAACAGTACATGACAACACATGTAGTGTTATGAAGAATCGGAATTCCTTGGTTAACATTGACTCTATGGCAAAATGTGCATTTTGAGTTTTTCTATTCCAAGTGAAATTATAGCTGTTGGCTACATGTCCTGGCACCTTCAGGGCCTGGGAAGACCTGCATAACAAAGCCATATGTATATTATATAACTTGAACTTAACTGCCCTCTTATGTACACCAGTGTTGACCATGTTATACCACTGAAGGCAAGGGGTTGAAACCCAACTTGTCTGAAGCAATGTTCTACCAATTTCATTCTGAAGAGCTAGAGTGGTATGAAAAATGCATGAAGAGATCAGACTCAGGTGTCTCTATTCTGACCAGGATGACAGTTGACGGAGCGAACACGTCGTTTCAATGCACAAACACAATTCAGAACCGTCATTCTCCTTCAGCATAATTCAGAGATGGAGCTAAACTGGAACCCAGACCATAAACCTCATTTTCTATTCCCCAGATTTTGCTTAGGCTTTCATTAAGGATATAGCAAAAATCATTATTAAAACAAAAACCCCATATTTCTGAAACAGTGTCAACCCTCATTCAGATATGGTTACCTAAAAAGTGTCCTCCATAATGAAACACTATGGATGAAATCTTGACCTATGTGAAGCCAAACAATTTTTGCCATTGATTTCACTGGGGCCTAGATATCCAGCTGCAGGGGAGATACTCTCAGTACAGCAGAGGTGAGGCAAAGGTGGCTTTAGTTATTATTGGGCTCCCCCGATCCTGGGGCAGCCACAAGGTGATATGGTCCCCAGTGTAATCTGAAGCAGCCTCAGAGTTATACTAAATTATACCTCTGATCATTCTGACAGCCAGAGATCACTAGATCTTGGGTACATCCAGGATTGCCTGTACACTGGTGGCTAAGCATAGGTGGCACGCAGTGGCTGCACTGACTACATATTAACTTCCAGGGACTCCCAGGGAACATTCAGCAAGCTACTTAGACAGCCATTGGGTTGGTTTGCACCAGCAGAGTAGTAAAAGCAAGGCCAGAACAACCTCTTGAGCTCACATGCTCTTTCTTCCATTCTGGTTCTGTTTTACCTTCTTCCCTTTTACAAGTCCCAGGTCAGAGACACAGGTTCTGAATTTGGCTATGAGGCATCAACATCCCTATCAGTCCTAATTCAAAGCCCTCAGAGTCCTCCAGCTCCTCTGATTTACCATATATGTTGTTCTTTCAAACACTCATTCCCTTAACACAAAGTGGTGTCTCCCATTGTCCCTGTCATAGGTGATACTGGTCTAGGACCCATGTTTTCCGCCCCCAGAGTGCTTTGCTGTGGTCTCTACTATACTGGATATTGTTGACCCCCATTTTTCTTTATATTTCCTATACAATTAAAAGCCCCTTCGAAAGTGAATCCACAGCAGAGTTGTTTCTGCTTCACCCTCATGACTTATTACCTGGGCAAACATTCCTCCATCAGACTGCTCTTCACCCTACCATCCTGCCAGACTTTTGTGTATAGAGGCATTGGCTGAAGGTGTCTATCTGAGCTTTTAAAGATACTGCACAATCTTTATAATACGTTCTTAACAGTAATTCTATTCTGTGCCAGATGAGTTATGGACAGATTAACATCATCCTGTCATAGTGATATCATAATCTATCATACAGATGTAATTCATAACGCACCTTAGGCAAAAACATTTTTCAGTGCAGGAAGCTCTCCAAGCTATCCATTTCCCTGACAATTCTCCAGAAATCCAAGTATGATCCAAACAAGGATCATATTGCCTATTAAAGGATATTGATTAAGCATTTAGCAGCACCAATTTGCAATGTGTACAACTCATACCCTTCCAAATGGTGGAAAGAAAAACAAAAACATATAAAGCAATGTAAATCCAGAGACTCAGACTTGCACCTGGAGACTGGGAGCTTGTGAGTTGGTTCACATACATCTCAATTGATTTCATAAGGTTTCTGCACCATACACACACACACACTGTGCTTTTTCAGCCCTTGTTTTCAGATTAGATTAAAAATAACCAGATAACCCATTTGGGGCTTGCAATTTGCAGCTGCAGCTAACAGTGCACTTTTGCATTTGCAAATGGTTACAGATGTTATGGGAGTAATTTGTTCTTGGTCTGTCCACTCATTTTGTACATGTACAACTAAGTTGTTTAGGAGCGTAAAACTGGTAAAATCCCCGATAAAGGTGCCTTGTCCCAGTACAATTTAGTTCTCTGCTCATATAGGAACATCACCTCCAACACTTCGTTTTACTCCAGGAAGTTTTATCACAACTTTTCTGACAGCATACAACACTGCCATGTTGCTACAGTGCATCCATGTTTGGCTGCTTTGGCCAGTGATGTACATCTTCAGAGCACTAGATTGTGTTGGCAAAAAATGCATTACACAGTGGGTGGCCAATGTGCCCATAACACTGGTCAGATTGCCATGTTTTGAGAAAGTTGTGCAGTGCACTGTGGGATGCTAGGACTTTCCAGAGGGGAACTGTGGGTGTTTGAGGTCAAGTTCCCACACCTCTCTCTTTTTTCATCTTATGATCTCCTCTCTTATACACCGATTTACTATCTCTTTGCCATCTCACTACTAGAAGAGGGGTTGTCAACCAGGGGTATGCGTACCCGTGGGGGTACTTTGAAAGGTCCCAGGGGGTGAGCAGGGATGGAGTGCCGCCACCCCACACCACTGCCTCACAGGAGCAGGGCCAGGACAGGGCAAGAGCAGGGCTGCACAGGCGCTGCACTGCTGCTGCTCCACCGCTCACTGCACCTCCGCTCAGTGTCTGGCTGCTCGCCACCTCCACTCCCCCCACAGGTACACGTACTAAAAGAGGGGCCGCCAGGGGTACAATTATTAAAAAAGGCTGAAAAACCTTGTAGTAGAAGAATGAGTAGATAAGCAGAGCTGTCATTTGGAGGAACCGATAGTAATCTTCCTCTACTTCATGTGGTCATTAGCCTCTGGGGAACCCCTGCCTGTGATTTGTCTGCAATACCATAGCAAGGGGGGAGGGAGGGGGAAGTGGAGTGACCGCCCCGAGTGCCAAAACTAAGGGGAGCCAACAGGCACTGCCCAGCTGGGGGGCAGGGCACAGGATGGAGCCATGATGGTGTGGGGACAGGGGAAGGGTGGCTCCCGCCACTGTGTGCACTCCCAAGCATGCGCCCCTCAGATCTGTGTGCAGGGTGAGGGTTGGCTCCTGCTGTGGGCTTGCCCTGGGCGCCAAACTTCCTTGCTATGGCACTGTTTCTCTGTCCAGGTAGAAATGCTTTTGTGTCATAGTGGTGATGACTTTGTGTCACCTCTTCCTTTTCCCTTCAATTGTTCCCTGCAGAATCATGTTAGCCAAGCCTGTTGCTCAGATCACATGGCCAAAGCATTCCACTTTCTGTCCTTTTACTGCTGCTTGTAAAGGCTCTTGGGATCCAATTATCAGTTCCTTCTTCTCTGATGGAGTTGTTAGTCCTACTTCTGAAGAATTCTTCGGAGACACCTGAATTCAAAGGCTAGAATTCGTTGTTTTGTTGCTGTTGGAGGCCATGCCTGTTGAGAACGCAGCCACTCGAAGAACTTTCACCATAAAATGAGGAGACTATCCTTCTAGATTTCATCCAGCTTTGGGAGTTTGGGTCACAATTCTACTTTTGATTTGTGTTTCATGTTCTCTCTTTTGTGATGGTAGTTTCCAGGTACCTGTACGAATCCATTTGTTTGTATTCTTGCCTTTGATGTATACACACATTGTATTTGTATTTCTTGTTGATTAACAGAATTTCCCATCGTCACTACTTTGCTTTATTTCTGCACTGCTCTTTATCCTGTAGGCAGTCACAACATTGTCTACTCTTGCTAGATCTGCCAGCTCTGGTCACATTCCACCTCCTATCACATTCATATTGTCTGCAAAGCAAAGATAAAGGGGCTTTCCAGCTTCAAGTGATACTGTCCCTTCAAAGAACTGACAAAGAGAAAAGGTGGAGCAGACATGGTGAGAGAGGACACCTGTCTTACCACAGGTCTACAGAACCAGTTAGAATATGTCATTTGCAAGGGCCATCCATGGTCTCTACATTTCTATAGAGGACTTCAATCATGGTTTTGATTCTTTTGCTGATGTTATACTTCTCCATCACAGCCGATAGCACTCCCTGCCATACAAGGCCCAATGCTTAATCAAAGTCTATGAAGTTGTTTCTTTTGATGCTCTCTATAT